ACAGTCGGCGTCCGTGAAGGTGATGGGCTCTGTCCACTGCTTGGGTTGTTTGGAGGGTCGGTTTACCGTGGCAACTGCTCTATCCGAGCCTTGCCTTATCTTTCTGAGTTCTGCCCTCTGAGCGGAACGGGATGGTCCGCCACAAGCAAGGCCACCTGAAATGACTCGAATTTCACCAACTGGCGGAGGGGGATTGCCTGGCGGCCGAGGCTATTGTGGGGGCGATCATGGCCTTGGTTAGGTTGGGCTGGCTGCCGGGGTGGGGTACGCCGGCGGTTGTTTCTGAAGGGCTTGGTTCTTTGCCTCTGCTGTGGGTGGGTGTCTGTGAACCGGCTAAGACACCCTTGACGAATCATGGAGGTTGGGTGGTTTTTGGAGAGGGAGAAGAGGAAATCGGACGATCGTAGCCCGGCCATGAAAGCCGTGAGGATGACCTTGTCATCATTTTCCGCTACTTACACGGCTTCGGTGTTGAAGCGGGTAACGAAACTGCGCAGCGACTCCCCCTCGGTCTGACGAATGTTGAGGAGTTGGGTTGCAGGGCGGCGTTGGCTCTGGGCTCCAATGAAATGGCTAAGGAAGGAGTCGCTGGAAAGTGGAGACAGAGTCTACTGGTAACTGGCTGAACCACAGTAGAGCTAACCCTTTCAGTGTCATGGGGAAAGCCCGACACATGATCTCGTCAGGGAAGGCATGGAGGATCATGAGGGTACGGTAGGTCTCCAGATGGTTGACTGGGTCTGTCGTACCGTCAAAAGAGTCAATGGTGGGTATCTTGAACTTGGCGGGCAAAGGGTTGTCCCGGATGGAGGCAACAAATGGTGAGTATGCCATGGTAGAGGGTTTATACTGAATGTTCTGCATGACCCCTTGGAGTTGGAGCTTCATTGCTCGAAGTTCAGCGTCCCAGAGGGGAATGTTGTCACCACGGTCAGTCAATGGGGGCTGGACGTTGCTGGTTTCCCCTTCAGGGGCTGGTGCCACGACCAATGGGTGTGGGAGTGAAGGTGGTAAATTTATATGTGAGGGAGGAGGTTGCAAACCTTCCAAGTTGGGTGGATAGGGTTGCGGAACAGTATGGCTCGGGGCTCTTTCTTGGTTGGGTGGGATGTCTGGAGGTGGTGGAGGAGGCGGCATCGGAAGGTTTCTTTGGAGTAAAGCATTTATCAGGGCCTGGTTTTGTTCGGCCATGCGGTTAATGCTGTTGGTAAGCTCAATGATATACTGTGGTGGGTTGTTTGGATTGGGAGGGTCGGTTTGATGGTCGACAGCATTATGGTGAGAAGCCATGGATCTAGTCGTGACCATACACTTAGATGGGTAGGAGGAAAAGGTTGTTAGGACAGGGTCTCCGGCGACAATGAACACAACTGGCGTCCGAATAAGAACCACTTCCCACAGACGGCGCCAACTGATGATAC